CTATGGCATCAACATTCTCCACAGTATTAACAATGTCTTTGGAGACCTTCGCCTGCATCAAATAGAAAGACGAACGTTTATCACCTCAAGCCATAACCATGGAACCCCTTGTGAGTTTCCATTTACCTCCTCCAAATAGACTATAGAAACCCTCATCATCAAGTTTCCCTGTAGAGATCAAGTTCAACCGAATATCTAGGACATGCTTAACTCCCTTAAGCAAAACTCTAGTACCAACACTAGTCTCCAAGCAAATATCACCAATGCCAGCAACCTTGGCCACTGCATCATTACCCATCTTCACAGAACCATAACTACCTGGAGTATAGGTAGTGAACAAATCCCGCTATGATGTAGCATGAGTAGTAGCTCCACTATCAACAACCCAACTGGTGTCCTGGCATGCAACATTAATGGCATCACTCTCAAGAAYAATAAGAYACTGATCTTCAGTGACAGTCACCCMATCTTCACCATCTTCTTGCTTCTTTCCAAGTTTGCTGTCCTTTTTCAACTTCCAGCAATCCTTCTTCATGWGRCCTTTCTTATGACAATAATGGCACTCCAAGTTAGCAAATTTGTTAGATTTGCTCCTGCTACTGTTCTTGTTATTCTTGGGCTCTCTATATGAACTTCTCCCCCTTGACTCAGAAACCATTACATCTGAACGCGAGAAACTAGGACGAGACTTCCTCCTTACTTCCTCATTCAAGACACTGTTCTTTACTAAGTCCATCGAAATCACACCATTCGACGCGGAGTTACAAAGAGACATCGTGAACACCTCCCAAGAATCTGGTAATGTACCAAGAAGCCACAAACCGTGAATCTCATCCTCAAACTTAATTRCCATGTCAGATAATTTARTGAGCAATCCCTGAAACGCATTCAAGTGATCCGCCATCGGAGTTCCCTCCTGGTACCTCAACTCAATCAATTTCTTGATCATGTACATCTTATTATTCCCGGTCTTCCGAGCAAACAACTACTCCAGCTTCTTCCACAAAGAACGAGC